CCCCCCCCGACAGTGCCGGTGATGTCTGTGGGAGCTCCACGCTTACCGCCACTGTGCTCCCGCTGCTGTTGTGCCCCCCCACGCCCCGTTCATAGCCTCAAGGCCCACTTGGAAAATGCCAACTCTTTAGTTTGTACTTCATTTTTTTACCTACAGAAAAACACTAGAGCAATTTTGTGGCAAGCAACTCAGACAGGCGCAGCGGGCCAGAAGGTTTTTAATGCTCCAGATTCCTCTTTGAGATCCCTGGGTTTATCTTAACATGTAACGGTGCTCACACTGCGTGGCACCCTGCACCACCCTCGAAAGGTTCTCAGGGTTCCCCGGCTGAGAATCACTGCCTTAAACCAAAATCCCCCTTGCAGCGCTACTCTTCACTGAAGGAGGGGCCCATGGCTGGGCCATGCCCAGGGTGCACAAGGCCAGGTGGTGGGGGCTGGGACTGTTTACTTGCCAGGGGGGACCCTGGCACTGGGGCTGTTTACTTTGGTCTGGATGGGCTGCGTCTTCCAGGTGCCAGGCAGGGCAAGTCAAGGGCATGTTTTGTAACAAGCAGCTGTTCCCTCTGGGGAGCAGGAACAGCTCTGCATTGTTGCATAGCGTTCCCTTCTCTCTGTCCCCCCACCTCTGGGAACAGCTTTGCCTGCCCTCTGTCTTTGCCAAGCTGGGGAGGGCATCTCTATCCCTTGCCTCAGGGCCCCTTGTAGCTCCAGGGGTGCTCTGCCCTCTGACAGCAGGGCTCCCATGCCAAACTCCCTCTGCAGCCAAATCACGGCTTGGCTGCTGCTCTGCACTCTGCTCAGCAGCCCCCTGACCTTGTGAGACAGACCCAGAATCTCCTCACCACGTGCCCAGGACTGCCACGATGTCCCTGTGCCAGCCCCATGGGCCCCCCAGCACTGCCCATGGTCGCTGTCCCAAGCATGGCTGTGCTCAGCTTTTCTCCGGCAAGGCCACACGAGGCTAACAGCCAGAGCTTGCGCACACTGTCTGTTGGTCCTCCCTGCTCTCACCTTCCCTGCCTCTGTCCCACTGGGCCTGGCAGCGAGGCATCATCCTGGGGCATCATCCATGCAAGTCTCACAGCACTCAAAACATTCCCTTTAATGCAGCCTGGCTCTCAGTTAGTGGAGGAAAGGCTGGAAGTATCCATCCAAAAAAGCTCAGCCAGCAGTGGGACAGAGAGACCCCTCCCCACAGCAGCCCCTGCTCAGAGGTGGGGAAGGCTGTACCAGAGTGAGTCAGACTTGAACGGGACTGAGCCCATCATGACACATCCAGCGTGGCTGCTTCCGTCAGCTCTTTGGTGCCTATTGCCTCTCACTTCACAACCACCTGCCTCTGTAGGGGCCTGGACCAGACAGCAGAAGCAAGCTCCCCCACAGCGTGGCCATGACTCCCAGGCTCTGGCACCTGTTGATGCGACACAAGCCCCACCTCCCCGCCACTTAACATGCTGTGCGGTGCCTCCTGCTGCCATCACCTGTGGCTCTGGTCCTGTTAAGACTGGACTGCTGCACAGCCCCTCTGGGCGGGGTAACACTAATACTGTGTGGCCTATGTGTGTAATACTGATGTCTTTTTAATATGTGGATGATAACGAACCAGTAAATGTGTCATGCTTTCCTGGAGAGCTGGTGGAGTCTCTGGGCTGCAGCATGGAGGGAGGTGGGGTACAACACTGCCAGTGCTTTGGCTTCAGTGTAGAGGTGGTTTGGTCTGCACCCTCCTCTTGCTCTCCCCAGGTCTGGCTGGCATGAGCGAGGTGGAGGCAGGGGCATGGGCGATGTAAGATTTTTAAAAGGGACATGCAGAGGGTGAGGTGCATCATCACATGTAACACGGTGTCTATTTTTCTCCAGATACAAAAACTAGAAGCTTTACTGATTTGCTAGGGGCCTAAGGCTGGATGATTCAGTTTAAGACTGAAACAAAAACAAATACCATTTCATTGGGATGAGTCAAAAACACTGCAGGGCTGTGAAACAGGAGCTACGGGGCCAGGAGCAGCTACAGGCAGCAGAATTGCAGGAGAAAGGCTGGCGGCATTACCACAGCCAAAAGAGAGGGCTTTTGACACACGTGGAATGAAGAGTTCAGAGCAGGGGTGCTCAACCTCTAGCCGGCCAGCCAGTTTCAGCCCACGGAGCCATGGCAGGGGTTGGGAAATCTTGCAGTAGGGGAGTGGGGGCAGTTAATATGGTCACCTCCCCCCCAAATTCCTAAAAGCACATTGAGGGCGAGAAACACTGCTCCCCTTGCGGCAGCTGGACCCGGATTGCATTAACCCCCTTCCCCCTCCCTGGGGGTGGGGTGCAGCTGGGCGCGGGAGGACCAGATCGGGCACTCCAGCTATATGGGACCCCCGGAGAAACCATCCCGTCTGCCCCACGTGCTGGGCAGGGGGTGAGCCCACTGGTTAGACAGACGGGGGCGGGGGGGGGAGCGGCGGAGCGGGAGGGAGGCCGCCCCAGGGTGCCTCTGGCGGGTGCGAGGACGGGACGTGGAGTGCGACGCGAGAACAGGCCCTGGCCCGGGGGTCCAAGGGCTTGGAGGTCCAGGCCCAGGGTTCCCACACAGGGTCAGGGCGTGTCCCTTGGGTGCCTGAGCCCGGTCCCTGGCACCAGGTGGGGCACGGCTGGGACCACCCCCTCCGCCGGCACGCGCGGGGATCGGGCCGTGCTGGGGGAGGGGCTGCCCCCACTGCCTCCCCTGCTTCTCCCAGCATGGCGGCCGAGCACACGCTGTCGCGTTTTTATAATGTCATCGCACAGTGTCGCATGACGCTGCGCCTGTGCCACTCCCAAGATGGCTCTCCTTGCTTTCGCCTGTCGCCTTGGACCCTCCCAAGATGGCCGCGGGATTCCGTCGCACTCCGGGTGACGTGACCGGGCTGGGCCGCCAGGAGAGGGGCGGGGCCGGAGGGGCGGGGGCAGGGCTTAAAGGGACCATGACCCCGCTGCA